TAGATGGCTCGAGCGCGTTTGTCGGGAGAGAATCTCTGCGACGTGCGAGCTGGCAGCTGCAGAGCAGCTGCAGTGTGCAGAGTCCAGCCCACCTTGGAGTCTAAAAAGGTGGGAAAGTCTAAAAAAAGGGCTCTGGAGCGAAAATTCAAAATAAAGACCCCGGCCAGTCGCCGACCACACCCACAAAGAACCCTGCACAAAGACCGCAGGGCGGGGACCTGTTCCTTTTTACCCATCTCCTAGTAGAGGTGTCCGTTTTATTTATTTATTTAAGCCGTAAGCAGCTAGGTTAATAAGCAAGCGATAGTCGTGCGGAGTCGAGAGTGCCGCGCGGGAGACCCAGTCCCCCCGCGCGACCAGTCCGCAGACCGCAGTCGCGCGCATGGGACGGAGTTGTTACCATACTCCATAGACTTGTTGCCAAGGAAAGCGCAACGTCAGGACCGCGGGGACATGGACATTCATAATTTCATCTTCAAGTACGGGCAGAGAGGCGGGCTCACGCGACTGGTGGAAGTATCACAATAATTTGCCCATGCGCGCTCGTCCCGTCCAAACCATGACTTTTACACGATGGCCGTGCGGGTAGCCGCCCTTAACGAACACCTGCCACCCTCAGTCGTCCCGGATCGCGATCTCCAGGCGCTGCCTCCCTAGTACTGCGTGTGCTCCACATCATATGGATGGCCGAGCGCCTGCTCGTACGACGGCCGTGCAGGCGGTCTCCACTCTCCCCACTCCCCCCCCTGACGCGCGTAACTCCCAAGTCGCCAGTCGTCTCCGAAGGAGAAGATGGCGCCAGTTCTTGTGCAGACGAGGCTGACGCAGCCGCCGACGCTCACTGCGCACGCGCGGTGCTCGGCAAGCGAATCGACCAGTTGTGGGATCCGCTCGGACTCGGATTCGTCCTTGGGTCCCAAGCCGCACAGCTCAGCCCTGCCCCAGCTGTAGAGCCGACCAGCAGCATCGTACAACACACAGGCAGTGTTCGCCCACACTGACGCCACAGGCGTGGACGCCTCGCAAGGCCTCGATGCGCCGCGGCCTTGCCACCACCTCTCCCGGTACCATGATGTCACCATGGCCAAGGACCGTGTTGTCGGTGCTCTCGGTCCCGAAGGAGTAGGTCGCGCCGTCGCATGTGATCAGCACGCAGAAGCCGTAGTTGCAATTCCCGCAGGCGATGCACGCCACCCTCGCAGCCAGACCCAAGAGAGCGGAGCAGGCAGCACCCAGTGAATCTGATCGTTGTCGCTCACGCGCACCTCGCTCGGCGGAGTCGGCCGTCGTCCCAAATGCCCCCGAGCTGTGCGCCCCCCAGCCCCAGACGGCACCGTCGGCGGCGAGTGCTAGCGATGTGGCAGCCACGTTGGCTGAGTGTCTTGTCTTGTGGTTCTGTGTGTCGCTCCTGTGTGACCGTTGTTAGACCTAA